AAAAGTTATTTCAAATGGCCTCAGGAATCGCCCCTTTCCGGATATTAAAATAATTATGAAACAACCTATATAGTCCCCGTTTACTATTTCAAAAACCTATTCTTCCCCAGACCTGGTTTATAAACCTACATAAACAAGTCTGCAAAGATTTATAATGATACGTTAATTGATTTAGCGGAAAGCATCTTTCAGCTTCTACGGCCCCAACTTGAATTATCTTCCACGACTATCGTACAAAGTACAGGTCAGTGGTACTCAAAGACTTCTCGAAGGTCTTACAGCCTCTTGCAGATACTCCAGCAATTTCGAAGCTTTCGAGAAAAGCAGAAGCTGCGTGGCTACAGCCAATTATCGTAGATCGAAACCGAGAGGTGAACAACTGCAATTTACAGTAAAACTCTTTCCGCTCCGGCAAAGTGTCAAATGTTGCAAAATTAATGCAATCTCCTGTTCCTACTTTCGCTTTCTATTGTGTTCCCTCGTAGATAATGCATTTTCTCTTCGAGGCCGGTTTAAAACAATAGAACTCGCTTAGATCTTTACTTGTCAGAGCATGTGTAACGATAAATAAGACGATAATTATATGAAAAGATCACAAGTGTAGATCAAATTTCACGATAATTGCGAACGTTCAAAGTAAACAGGAGAACATAATCAGCGTGTCGCGTGAGTTTAATTAAAGTGACAACAGCTATGCACCAACACACGCCCAAGATATATGAAGAAATTACTAGTTTAACCTCTTGCACTACGATTTCGTTCGCAACTGCGTTGATTAGCGCTTCGTCTTTAATCGTTTTCTTGACAGAACGAGAGAATTTTTGTAATTTGTACATCATCGTTTACTTTTATTGTTACACTTTAACAACAGAAGAATCAAATTTTGTCTCGATTTCGAAGAAATGAATAAGATTAATGTTTAATACGAAGATTATTTATGAGAGCTTCACACATCACGAGTGTGACTAATTGTCGTAGAGCAAGTGGTTAATTATTCAGAGGCAAATGTTAAGTGTTCTATATTATTGCTAGCATAAATGAATTGTAATGCTTGTGTGTCATGCAATTTTATCAAAAATTAGAAAAAAATAGAAAAAATAAAAAATTTACAAAGCATTAATGGAATTGGTCTCGCGAAATTAAAAAATTGTAAAATAAGATCTCGGGTTGAGCCGAAGATAAACTTGTGCCTGTGTGTGTGTAGTTGAAATTACTATTAAATAAAATTCAATATTAACCTGAATTCTTATTTTGACATAAAAACGCCGTAAAATCGCAACTTAGTAGACTTCTCTTAGCCCCACCCTGTATACAGGTTGGTCCACGTAATTGTTTCAAGTCATAATTCCGTTATTAATACATTTACGAAAAAATTCCAGAGGAGGAAGATAAATGGCACAAAGGGCACTACATCTGCAGGTGCTTAGATTTTCCTTAAGTGCGACAGTGCATGTGCAATGAACAATTGCATCGTTTTGCTTAAATGAAAATGCATACTTTTTACTGCACAGATCGATTCCTCTGCTCATTCTACGAAAAAAATGATTAAAGTATCATGGCAAAAAGGTTATTAGTTCTCGAGATATTTACGAAAAATATCTTTTGTATCGATCGGTATCAATCACACATGTAATAATAAGAGTATCATGATATCATTATTACGTACGTGTATTATCGTGTGAAAGAGGTGTAAGACACAGGACTGTGGGGCCTAATCGTAACAGCCTAGAGCTGTGAGGATTTCCAAAGTCAAATTTACAGATTCGCTCCTTGCATGCTGTATAATAAAGACGTTTTGTATTACAAAAGTATCGGTGTTCATTTAATTTTATACTCATTTCCGATACAGTGCAATATCTGTCGATATTTTAGGTAATGACCGATCGAACGACGTCCTGCACCGAGGAAGAAAAGCCTAATTATAAGTAACGAAAGGCAGACGCCCTGAAGTAATTCGTCTGTAAAGAGTTAACGTCAAGTTTTTCTCATTGTTTTTTCAGCAGACCGGCTTCGGCAAAATAAGACGATAAAATAGACGATCTTGCTTTCCGAGAAGAATTGCAAGATTCCAGTACAGACTCTACCAATACGGCTTCTAAATGCCAGTGTTTCGATTATCAACGACCGGGGCCAGAAGAAGCTCCTTCCCGCTCCGCTACTGTCTTCCTTAATCGTACGCCTTCGTATATCAAACCGCATTTGGCCAGACTCACCGAGCCGAGTGTAACGAACTTTCCTTATCTCGTTCACCCCTCGCCGGATTTTCCTATCTCTCTTTTTCTCGCGGCGACATCCAGCACGCCTGAATCCTACTCGCCGATAATGCGAAATCGCATCCTCCACGGCCCACGCGCCGCCTCACAGACCGATTTATGCCAAGATGCTCGGTCTGTAACACACTTGCGCGGAAACATCTGCGGAATTTTTATCCGGATGATTTTTCGCTGCTTCAGGATGGAATATTTTAAGCACGAGATTCGCTTATTTAACTCCTGCCGCTGCGAACAAGACGCATTTTTCTAGACGGCTGTGTACCTACGTGCACGTGATCTCGAAACCGTTTCCTCTGGCGCTTTCGATGGGACACACGCATCCTAACAGTGAAAAGATCTTCGTTTTTTGTATTTTCTCAGTTTCAAGTGCGTCGAATGTTATGTCAAAGCGATATTTCGAGATTCAAGCATCTAGCGACTGAAGGTAAAGTTTAAAAAATCTTACTTTATCGGAGGGAACTTTAAAACTTCTTCCATGTTTTTCTCGATACTGATTAGGTCTACCGGAAAGTTCTGTCCGATAGTGTGATCTGAGACATATATGACTATCTCTCTTTATCATTGCATTTACACGCATGCACTCTCCCAAATAAACTGAAACAAAGATGTCTCGTGTCATTATTGTGACAATTGTGACGGTCAATAATTAATTTCATACAAGAAGGGAGTTCGGAAATAACGAATAACTTCGCTATTTTGTACAATGTTTACTTTTAAAAAATTCAAGAACAAAGTTGAAGCTTGCATTTGTGTTCTTTTGGAAAGGCTAAATCTTTTATTTAGTAATCATCTATAAAAACAAAAATTCCATACTATTTATTAATGCCTCGGGGTGGTGCCCCCCTTAAAAGACCGATTTTGATGAAACTATGCACAAGCGCTCATTAGATCTGACAATTGAACCGTATTTCGTTCATGCTCATTTTTAAAAGAAATACTTGAAATAAAAGTTATATCGTATCTTTGGAACCATAAATCTATGCGAAAATTTTTTCAGATCATTATTTTTTTATGATTAATTAAAACGTTTATTTTTTACAAATCCAACGATGAACGACAGTATACACTTATTTGTTCTGGACAAAATTTATTACATTATTATATTACATTTTATTTATTTTATACCATAGGTATTTTTTTGTACTTTGGCTGTTAATTCAGCTTATTGTTGATATCCTATGAGATAACAATCATTTCACAATACATTTTACACAACACTTTCATAATCACAAGATTAGTATCATAACGCGATGAATTTCATTGACTCGGCATGCTTTCTACAATACGCATGTATACGTATGCGTGTGCAATTTATTTGGTTANCACTCTCCCAAATAAACTGAAACAAAGATGTCTCGTGTCATTATTGTGACAATTGTGACGGTCAATAATTAATTTCATACAAGAAGGGAGTTCGGAAATAACGAATAACTTCGCTATTTTGTACAATGTTTACTTTTAAAAAATTCAAGAACAAAGTTGAAGCTTGCATTTGTGTTCTTTTGGAAAGGCTAAATCTTTTATTTAGTAATCATCTATAAAAACAAAAATTCCATACTATTTATTAATGCCTCGGGGTGGTGCCCCCCTTAAAAGACCGATTTTGATGAAACTATGCACAAGCGCTCATTAGATCTGACAATTGAACCGTATTTCGTTCATGCTCATTTTTAAAAGAAATACTTGAAATAAAAGTTATATCGTATCTTTGGAACCATAAATCTATGCGAAAATTTTTTCAGATCATTATTTTTTTATGATTAATTAAAACGTTTATTTTTTACAAATCCAACGATGAACGACAGTATACACTTATTTGTTCTGGACAAAATTTATTACATTATTATATTACATTTTATTTATTTTATACCATAGGTATTTTTTTGTACTTTGGCTGTTAATTCAGCTTATTGTTGATATCCTATGAGATAACAATCATTTCACAATACATTTTACACAACACTTTCATAATCACAAGATTAGTATCATAACGCGATGAATTTCATTGACTCGGCATGCTTTCTACAATACGCATGTATACGTATGCGTGTGCAATTTATTTGGTTACGTGTAAATATCTATAGAAATATGGATCACACAGAAAAGGAGTTGAAACAAATGTTATAAACTATAGGATATCGACAGAAAAATATGGTGTTAGTATTTATTTGACTTTGCGATGATCTTGAAAAGATTTACAATGATGATTATAATGATTATAAGGGGGTCGTTGTAAAGAGAGAGCTCCAAATCTGTAGTAAATTATCTTGTTACAGTTTATATACCGACAGTTTGTTAAAAATTTAGTGAACGAATATTTTTTGGAGCCAAAGTAGATATGTTGAGAGAACAAAAAACACTCTCCAGAAATTTCTTTTTATGCGCTGATTTGAATTCGTTGCAAACCTTCCTATTATCCTCAACTTTGCGACATTTTGACAAATTTGTTGTACATAAGAAATTTTTAATTAATGCTTATGAAATATTTAAATCATAAATAATGTCATAAATAACATAAATTTCCCCATGAATTTTTGTATGCGTGTTTAATACTTTTCCTTAATCCATTTAACGAACGTAACGAATGCTTTGACTGACATTTCAAATCATATATCTGTACATCTGGTATTCAGAAACGACTGGTGTACGAGCACACATGCGTGACACGTGTTCGGGACGACGAGAAAAAAGGAAAATCTGTTGAGAGAAAGGTTTCAATCTCGAGAATTTCGACAACATTAAGTGCTGAACTTTATTGAAGTTATTAAACAGATTTTGAAGAAGATTTTGAAGAAACAGAGTTGCAAGCTCGCTTAATTTTATAGTATGATGTCTCCGATAGAATTACATCCATAATTATGTATTGTGGATCTTCTGAATCGGGTTTCGCATTGATGACTGTTGTTTCCTTATATAACAACATTTCTAACTGACTGCCCGCTTTTACTTTGATACGTTTCGATAATAAGTTGGCAGCCTCTAGAATTTCTTCTTCTATTTTGAACCGCAGTAGGTCAATACCAGTTGAATTCACAGCAGAAACGGGATACGTATCTTCTAGCAGAGCATGTCCCTTAAGAGAATCTCTATCAAGAATATCGCACTTGTTTGCTACATTAATTACTAATTTATCATCACTTATCATAGGTTTTATTGTTTTTTCAATGTGTTCAATTTGGGCTTTGACATCAGGATGACTTATGTCGTATACATGAATAATAATGTCCTACAAAAATGAAAGAAGTCAATTGCCAAATCCTTATAAGTTTGGAAATAATTACTAAGTCAGTTAACATACTGCGTCTATGGCATCTTCGAGGGTAACTTTAAATGGTTCTACTAAAGTCTCTGGTACATCTTGAATAAATCCAATGGTATCGATGTATAGTACTTTTAACTTGTTAAAAAGATAGCCTTCATGAACTGTTGTGTCCAAAGTAGCAAATAACTGATTCCGAGGTTGCAAAGATGCATCCCCTGTTAATGCTTTTATCAATGATGTCTTTCCAGCATTTGTATATCCAACTACAGCAATACTTGGGATACCATAATACTGTCTTCTACTCTTTATCATTTTCCTGTGTTCCTTTAGTCTTTTAAGTGCATTCTTTAACTTTTTCTCTTTGCTCTCAAGATATTTCTTTTTTGCTTCATCCATATTTATCTTTCCTAATTTAGTAGATGTCAAATCGACCATTTTCTTTCTTATATATGGAATTTCTGCTAAGGCCACTTGCAACATTGCTTCTGGAGACTTTGCATGTTCACGAAATATATGAATGACTATAGAGTAGCGATCATAAATGGGTAAACGAAAAGTATTTTGCAATTCAGCAATTTGTATGAATCTCAGCAAGTTTGTACTAACAAATATTGCTGTTATATTTGGGCTACTTCTAATTTCCTTTTTTAGACTTTCAAGACTTCCACTTCCAACTAATTTAGATTTCTTCAAAGTTAACAGAGGGACAAGTCTCGTCCCTTCTACAGACCAATTTGGTAATGTATTAACAAGTGCTACTGCTTCGGCTAATTGTAAATCAGGAGTCGTAATACGTTTCTTATTAACACCCCATTTTATATAAGGCTGTATAATAAATACATTATGTTTACCAACAGATGACCCTAAATAATCTTCAGATATTTTCTTATAAATATCCTTCTCTTCTTCATCTTCATCATATCCTTCAAAATCCATTGCAGAATCATGTTTAATTCGGTGGATAAAGCTTAATGCAATTAATGCCCTCTTTTTATGTATCGGATTTACTATATCATGATACTGAGACTTATTATGTATAATATGAAAAAGTTTC